CTCCCGCCTGCGCGCCCCTCCCCGAGGCAGCCGCCGCTGTCAATGCCTGGTAGCCTCACAGAAGGGAAAACCAGGCGGGTGGATAAAGGGTCACGGCCTCGGACAGCCTAAAATATAAGAGGCTGTTTCTGCGTGGAGGTGGAATCGTACTTTGTGCGCTTGGCGGGTGGCTGGCAGCCGGGTTTCTGTTTCTTAGAAATAGCCTGGCTGCGATGGGAGAGTTGAAGGAAATAACGCACGCGTATCGACTTTTAAATGAAGTTTAGCGACAGACTTCTAGAACTGAGGGCCTCCTCAGATGCAGATGGTAAAAGTGTATCTTAAAAAAAGATAGAGAAAAACAAAGCTTGGGGCTCACCATCTGAAGAAGATGGTATTTGACATTCTAGGGAGGTTACCGAATCTCCTTCATTTTCTCACATCATTTTGTGCCTGACAAAAACGTACATCTCTTCAGAACCAAACAGTGCCTTTCCGCTGGTTCCCGTGGTGCTCCTCAGCAGCACGTGGTGGAGGAAATGTCGAGGCTGGAATTTTTCCAGTTTGTACCCTCAAAGTGTATAAATTCACATCTGTGCTACTACAAACACTTAAAAAAAAAAATTGCTGTTTCACCTTGAACCTGACGACCTTATATGACTCCTAATTGCAAGAACAGAGGTATGCTGTGCATCCTGTTAGCACTGGTCTGAATCAGATGGCTAAATACGGTATTTGTGCGGCGTCCCGTAACTGAATGAGGATACAGTCTATTTCCTAACATGACATGCTTAAGAAAGCTCCCGTATCTCATCACTGCTGTTAGACAACTGCACCTTCTTAGGCATCGTACATGAAATTATGTCAAATTAATAAAACAAATGATCCAGCCTTGCAAGCAGTTATAGTCATTTTTTAAATAACATCTTGTACTTTTTGATCAAATCAGGTACCTGTGAGAAGGTTAATAATAATCCTTTTTTCTTCACCCATTCGGTTGGCAAAGCTAGGGTGCCTCTGCATTGGCACTTCAGATCAGGAGATCCAACGTGTGCTTTACCAGCTGATTTGCCAAACTCCCCCACTTCCCATGCTTTGGTCCACATCACAGCGTGGTCTCACAACGCGTCAAATAGATTCCTTTTTCAAATGAAACTACCAGGCTGCTCCAGGATTCCGGGTCACAGGACCAGCCTACAGCTAGCCCAACTCCTGAGGCATCCAGGTACTGGGTTTTCTTTTGCAACGCTTACTGTTACCACATTACTTGCCAGGGCAGACGTGGCAATAGTCTCCTCCCTTTTCATCTCCAATCATGTTTTTCATAAGAAGCTATCATACATTATTTTACAAAGGCTTAAACTGCAACAGCACTCAATCTTGATATGTAGCACTCGGCGTAAGTGGAGGTACGAACTGCTGGTTAGTGCATGATAGTTAATTGTTGCTCAACAGAGGGAACACCAGCATTAATCATCATCATTGCAGTTTTTGGTCATTTCTAGAGGGATGGAACCAAGGGTCAGGTTCTGGTCTCATTCCTAGAGTGCAAATTCAGTGGTCTGTGTTGAATATAAAAATATAGAGATTTTAATTGATCGGTAAGGGAAAAAAAAAGGGGGGGGGGAATGCAGAATTCAGGAAGGAAACCTGAAAGTCTGCACTTACTTTGTCCGGATTACAATCTCTGATTTCTAATCTATACTTGTAAATCTGTCCCATGTAGCTTAATTTTCCCTTTCACTTACCCTCCTATCTCTCAAAGTTAACAAAGAAGGCTTTTAAGTACGGTACTAATTAAACAGATTAGGCTTGCCTAGATACAGGCAAATCCAAAGGGACATGAAAAATCTAAATAGGGAAACTGGTTTTAGATAAGACCAGAATGACAGGTTTGAAAAAGAAAATTTGATCTAAGAGCTACTAAATCAGATTCCTTCACAAATTCCATTCTGTGTTTTGTTTTTTAATTCCATATCCATTCAGAATTACTTCTATAGGTATGACAAGATAACACCGATTCTGCAAACGCTACTTAGTGGTGTAAACCAATGCTTCTCATGTTGGGTTGTTTTTTTTTTTCCTTACATAGCAACTCGGTACTACTCATTGAATTAGAATTAGCACAAAATGGTGGCAAAATACTGCATACCCTTAACGTACAGAAGAAATCTAGGCAAGTTAGATGCTTCTACCTTATTCTCCCAAAGCAGGGTCTGATCCCATGTAAGAAACAGAAGTGACGCAGAATGATAAAACATACTTTTCCTCTACTCTTGCTCAAGCAGCTAATCGCAGAAATAGATTTAACAGCCACTGCTCTGTACGTAGTGCCCGGGCTGATAGCAGCAAAAGCAGAAACAGCAGCTTCTTTGTGTTTTACTGAAATTCTCCCCCACCGAAGGGGCAAGGGGTCACTGATTGCATAGTCTTTGCTCCATTGCACACCCTCGGCTATTGTTGAGTCCACTCAGAGAGCAACAGACTGAATGTGCCACACAGCCTTGTAACAGAATCTTCTGTTTTATTATTGCTTGAATTAAGATTCTCAATAAATGTAAAGCACCTGTTCATTTGGGTCAGTGTATGTAACATGTTGGGTGAAGACTATATGAAATCCTGCAGCAGAAGTGTATAACTTACACCGGTACCCCTTGAAATATGATAATCTTTGTTACAATCTCCTAATCCTTGTAAAGGGATTTGCATGGTACAGGAAGATTTACAATGTAATGGATTACTATTTCATAATCCGGGCCAAGGGGAAGAAGCTTCAAATATTTACAGTTTTTTACTGCGTTTCAAACTTTTTTCCAGATCTAGAGGCACAACACTGGGGAGGCTGTTAGAGTGTGTTCGCACACAAAATATGGTATCAACGTGTTACTTGTGGGCTTTGTTTCGTCTGGATTTCCAAGCACGTGTAACTTTATTCTCTACCTGCGTCACTCGTTTGTGACCACAGTACTTTATTCATTATTCAAAAGCGAAGAAAGTATGTTAATAGACATTGCGTAGGAAACAAATGAAACATTTTTGAGCAGACTATTATTAAATGGCTATGACTTTGCCCTGTGTAAAACACATTAGAAAAAAGAGAGAGAAAATGTTTAAAAATTAATACTAGGAAACCAAATTACTCCTTAGTCAGTCATGTAGTCAGAGCTCTATTTTTTCAATTGTAACCACTCAAGGTCTCCAACAGAACAGACAACTGCACAGAACCATGAAACTCAAGACTGAAGACATTTTTTCAAAAGCATTTTCTATCTAGAAAGTCCAAACCTTCTGAAATTTTACACTACACTCCTTGGATACTAAACCCAGCCTGCTGCATGTATGTACCAAGAATGACACTCCCAAAAGCACAGAATATGATCGCAAATACTCTCTTGTGCTCCCTCCTCCCATCCCAGTTTGTTGCATTTTTTTATTAAATCAATGATGCAAACTCTTTGTAGTAAGCAGTCTAAAAGCAGATAGTGGCTTTTTCATTAAGTCTCTAAGATGTGTAGCAATGAGGAGATTCTCACAAAGCTGTCGCTTCCCAACATCACACAGCAACAAAAAGCGTAGCTGCAGCAGTGGTAGGTGCAACAGAAAGAGGTACAGAAACCTCACGTTTTGCAGAGGGGCATCGCTGTAAGTAAAACATCATTAATGCCGGTGACCTCCCTACACCTTTATTACCCTCTCAGCTGAAAGGTGAATTTAGACTCCGTTAAAATAATTAAGAGCTTGGAAAGGTTTAAATAAAACATAAATCAGAAAATTTGAGTGCCAGTCAGTATACAGAGGGAACAAGCTGTAGTCAAAAAATATTTTTTATTCCTATCGTCAGGAAAAATGAGTGATATTGAAAGCAGGATTGCTAATCCAGATTTACGTGCTCAGTTAGTTTAAAAGTTTCATAAAATGATGGCCATATTCCCTTTAATAGAATTCTGAACTAAGATAACTGACTGAGATATTTTTCATCTGGGCAAAGCCCCGGGGCCCCTGTGTAGGGCTCACCCTGAAGGCAGGGTTAGGTTTAGGCTTGAGAGAGAAAGCAAGCCT